AATGCCGTTTAATTTTTGTTTGAATAATTTAACTGATATCTTTTGTAACCTAGAACGACCGCTAGAATTAAAATTGCACATAGAATGAATTAATAGAGATCTAATTTGTTCTAGGACACCTTCACACACACTTAATCGTTCGCTAAGAGATTAGTAGCGATTAAGGGGCCGTAAGCTCGCTCGTCTTGGCAATAATTTAGGATCCTGTCGCATGAGAGATCAGCCTGGTCCCCTAAATTATTGTACTCTACGCCGCGAGAGCGATAAGAACTTAGTAATGATTAGCTAGGCTCAATTAAATTAATTTCATGAGATTAGACCTGATCTGCCAGAAATCTTGTTACCCTGGAATCAATCCCTGTTCCCTTCGTCGTTAATTGAGAAGAAACCAAACTTTTATTTTATTGCTCATTAGCATTAGTTTAATTTTCCAAACCAATCAATCTCGCACAATTGCATTTTATTTTATTTTATTTCTTTTTAATCGCTGAATTTAGTTAATCTTTAATTCCCCTTTGTCCGTCCTTGTGGAAACGATACTCGTACTTTTACCCACTATTCTACTACAATTTTTAGTGTGAGAAAACTCACATCAATAGTCAAAAGCAGAAAAGCCAGCACACACGCTGAGGATCTTGAAGAAATCTTCAAGATCATGGACAAGTTCAACCTCCGGCTGAACCATAAGAAATGCATGTTTTCACTTTATGAAGGCGAATTACTAGGCTATATGATTAGCCACCGATGGATTGAGTCAAACCCAGAAAAGGTGCAGGCCATCATTAACATGGAGCCGCCCAGAAACGTTAAAGAGGTTCAGAGGCTAACTGCAAAATTGACAGCCCCCAACCAGTTCATCACAAAGTTGGTTGAGCGTGTACTACCATTTTTCCTGATCATGAGAAAGTATGCAAAATTTAAGTGGACACCCGAAAGCCAGAAGGCATTCGATGACCTCAAACAATATCTGGTCTCCCTTCCAAACCTCTCAAAACTGGAACATGGAGAAGTATTAAATCTCTACCTGGGCGTTAGCCATGGGGTCGTGACCTTGGTCCTCATCCGAGAAGAAGATGGAGCTCAGAAGCCCATATATTACATAAGCAAAACAATGCGCGACGCTGAGCTCTGATACTCCCCAGTAGAGAAAAATGTTCTGGCATGCACAGTGGTAAGTACTGTGAAGAGGCTAGCACATTATTTCCAGGCACACGTAGTCCGCGTCCTCACCCACCAGTTGTTGGGACACCTCATGAGGAGTCCCACAAGCTCAGCCAGAATGGTCAAATGAGCTGTCTTTTTGAGCCAGTACCAGATCGAGATAAAACGTAACCAAGGTCGGCCATCAAAGGCCAAGCTCTCGCCGATTTCATGGCAGAATGTACGGCTAGAGATCTGACCCCAGTCACCTCAAATGACAAGGAAGGCTGGTGGAAGCTACTTACAGACGGTTCATCAGCCGCAAAAGCTTGAGAGGGGGGGTGTATTCATCACCCCTAGGGCTTCCGATCCTATTATGCAATACACTTCAACTTTAAAGTCTATAATAATGAGGCAGAGTATGAAGCCCTGAGGATCAAGTGCGATTCGAGGCTAATGATCGGGCAAATCAATGACTCATGTGAAACAAAGGAGGTCAGAATGAAAGAATACAAAGCAGATGCGCTGGAACTCCTAGGAGCATTCCGGCTGAACGAGATCTTGCAAATACCACGTGCGGAGAACCCGAAAGAAGGTCTGTCTAAACTGAGCTTGGATACACCTAGTACATATCAAAGATTGCTCAGGTGGAGGAACTGTCGACACCCAGCATACAGCGAGGCCTCATCCACCAGATCTAGCCCATCCCTAGGGACTGGATCATGTACCTAAAAGAGTACATAACCGATGCTAAACTGCTCGAGGGTGAGGCTGAGGTTGGGATTGTCAAACTTCGAGCTCCAAGCTATGCTGTCATCAAGGACAAACTGTACAAAAGATCTTACAACGGCACGCTTTTACGCTGCCTCCACATCGATCAACGATTCCAAGATAGCCATGGAAGAAGTACATGCAGGTGTTTGTTCGGCTCATCAAGTCCCCCACACCATGTACAGAAAACTCCTACTGCAAGGATACGTTTGGCCAACCATGGTAAAAGACTGCGCTCGCATGGCACACACCTACAATGCCTGCCAGCAATTTTTAGAAAGCCCTAGGGCTTCCGACAGTGAACTATGCCCCCATCATAACAATCATTCCATTCTCGCGGTGGGGTGTCGACCTCGTCGAACAGCTACCTCGGGGCATTGACAACTGCAAGTGGATAATTGTCGGCATAGACTACTTCACCAAATGGGTGGAAGCGGAACCACTAGCCAGCATAATAGAGGCATGAGGCAAAAAATTCATCACCAAGAATATCCTTACTCGCTTTGGTGTGTCACAACAGCTCATCACCGATAATGGCACTCAATTCGAGGCTAAGAATTTCCAAGATATGCTGGCCAGTTAGGGAATCAAACAGTACAGTGATAAGTCCATGTTTCGACACGCATTTGATGCGTGTTGAGATCGACTTTTGATGATTTTCCTAGCTTAAAGGCGTCATAAGTCTCATTTTAGCTCAAAGTCATATTTTATCGGGCGTTGGTTCGTGTTTGGTATTATTGGAGTCAAAATCAAGGAATTTGAGCCCGACACCGCCGCTTGAGAACCAATCGGGACGAGTCAAGATGCATTCGAGAGAGAATTGAGAGCTTTGGAGGTCACTGGGAGGTTTACAATGAAGATTTGATGACAAAAGAGCTCTAGAATTGGCTACGAGATCAAAAGAAAAGGAATAGAGCTTGAAAACGGCGATCGGGGTGACGTTCTTTCAAGGGCTACAAATCATATCATTTTGTAGAAACATCCACTGTACACGATTCAAGTTCCATATGAAACCTAACTTCAAGGACTACAAATCATATGAAGACACCATTACGAGAATATGAGAGGAGCAAGGTGTAAATAGACAATGAAGTCAGATGATCGCTATTGTGATTCCAGAATGCGACCTTCCACCATTTTATTCATATCTTTTGATTGGATGATTCAAACCCAGTTTTTCAAGTTGTGGTGGATAGAGTTCCTAAAAAATCTACCACTTTCTTAAAAAAGCTTATAATCCTAAATGAGGGTTAGGCCATTTTAGGGTTGAAATTTATGTTGGTGTAATCATTCGCTTTATTGTATGGTACATTGTGTTTTAAACTATGTACTTTTTAAAGGAATTGAGTCTTTCCGTTTAACTCCCGTTATTAGCTCCCGTCTGTTTGTTTACGGCTTGCCCCGGTCCGCACACCTTCAGCTCCCCTCACCTCAAATCACCACTAACCCTCACTTAGCGCGCATAGTAGCTCTCATCCGCGCCCTAACCAAACCCAGCTAGCTCCAGTCGTTTCCGCTCTCATCCAGGTTTGTTTCCCTGCCGTTTCTCCAATTTTTTCTCAGCTATACTCATCTCCTTTCTCATTAATGTCCCATATTATTATGTTATTCAATTCGTTATCGTTCATTACATCACCAACCGAAGTGATTTCAACGTTATATACTGACTTACGGAGGATTACGGAGACCCCTAGCTCCTAAATTCTGTTTCAGCCGCTCAGCCTTCTAGGCTCCATCACTATGGCTTCTGGACATCAGGATTACGGAGGAAGTTCTCCCCTGTTACTCTTCTAAGTTTTTCCTCTTTACCATGTGACAACCTCGGTTTAAAAATCTGTTGAACAATTGCTTCCTCTATATACATGTTTCAAAACCTTGTCGTTACGTCATAAGAACCAACACAGAAAACTTTATCACCTAAAGAAGTAGTGGTTTATCATACGTAGTATGAACTACTATCCAAAAATTGTAAAGATTTATGATGAAAATTTTGATAAATTACGATGTATTTATTGGGACTGATTGCAGTCCTAGACCAGATCAAAATAGACCAAATCAAATTTATGCAGAGCAGTCCAAAGTTAAACAGATCAGACCAGGATACGCTAGATATAAAATACACATAGGTCAGACATCACTAGACAAGATGAGACTTAAACAGACCCGATCATACCAGATCAAACCAAATCAGGTCAGAAAATTACAATCCAATTTTAAACATCCTAATAGCCTAAACATGTACTAGATATGTCTTATGATACTTTCTAAAATTAGGAAAACATGATCTGGCCCTTATATGAGTGTGATTTTTATTTTATTTAGTTCTTGGGCTCTAGCCTCTTTCATGATTAATGAATGTTAGATAGTGTATTTCTATCTAAGTTGATATAAGTGACAACATGCCAAATGCTAAAAGCAATCATATCAAATAAACATACAATGTACATAACTTCCAATAAAAACCACATTCTTAATAAGTTCTTCTCTTGGCATGGTAGATATGTTGACGTCAGGTGGGGTTTCTTTCTGTGACCCCAACCCTAATAGATTAGCAATCCAAGAGAGGGCCTTTCTAAAAACTCTAGCATCCCCTGCTGCCCCGCTTCCTTTTCTTCTTTTTCTAACACATATTGAGACGGTGTATACAAAGTTACTGTTAGGTTCCAAGACAAAGGTTTACCAGGAAGCCGTAGGCATACCTAGAAAATGATAAGTAGAGTTGGTATTGAGTTCATGTAAGACTCCTAGTCAAAGGTATTAAGTCTGCTAGTGCTTTAACTCATCCCATCATTTATTATGATGGATAAGGCAGTCCAGCTTTTCATCCAAATTGTGCCAGCATATTTTTTGGGTTATTAGGGTTTGTCTTACAATCAGATTTAAAGAGAAGGGAAGACATAAAGAAGATAACAACAGATGTGAATTATAGCTAACAGGTAATCCAATATTCAAAATGCAAAATGATTATATGATTGAATGATCAAGCCTGCTTATCTAACCTAAGAACATGAAATGTGAGTTACTTAAAAGAGTGACTCATGCATTATCCTTGAGCTACTTATTTCCTTGCTTCTTAGTTTGTCTAGCAGCAAGAATAGGAAGTCATAAGTAGTGGTAAATCCGTGTAGCTATCAGTTTAAACCAAGGATTGCTGCTGCGAAAATGTTTAATGCCTTATTCTATTCTATGAAGATGATATCTAGTGCTATAATAAGCTGTCGAAATAGAAGCTGCCACTGGAATGTGGGATAAAGGATGAATTGTCCAAGTGCTACAATAACAGCGCCAATGTTTAGAGTAGTTTCAGCAGTTGCAATACAAACATGTTGATCACTTCACTTCCTCCTTGAATATAGCTTGAACAGAAAGTATCCTCCAGCCCTCCAACTGGTGTAAGAAAGCTTGCAGCATAAATGTTGACTCGAGTGAGTGTGTTGACCACAGCAGTACCACTAAGGAGAAGCATAGCAGTTATGGTTGTCAAGAAACAGAACCATAGGGACACTATATGAGCAGCGGTTTCCCATCTTAAGAAAAACCGATTATACTTTAGGATATGCATGGATCTTCGAAAAATGCCAGGAATGAAAAAAATGCGAAGGAAAGTTACTTCCCTGTGTTTGGTTTTTACCACGGAAAACGAAAAAGAAAGTAAAATATTATTAATGCTTCATTTTTCACATATATTTTTTAGAATTCATTGTGTTTGTACTTTGTATAAGAAGTGGTTTTAAAAAAGAATTTGAATAGATAGTAAGAATTAGTTTATTGGGTATGGACTAATATTTAATTTTCACAACATTTTATTTCTTTTCATTTTCTATAGAAATTTCATTATTTCTCCCTAAGATTTTCTGTGTTTTAAGGGCACTTATTACACAGAAAATCTAGGATTCAAGGGTCCATTCTCTAATTAGTAAAATCACAAGATTACTAGGTTGCCATAACATGTGGGTAAGGGGGAATTCATAAATTTCATATGATTGGGATCATAGTTGCAATTAAGTAAACTCCAAAACTGATTTAAGTCTTTTCTCCATTTTTCTGAGGACAGTACTAGAGGTCTGTGAGGACAGTACTAGAGGTCTGGAGTAACTACTTCGGGTCCTGCAGGACCGGGGTGTTACATAAGCCGCCAACATTTTGCATGTGTGTGGACTACACTGACCTTAACAAGGCATGCCCCATGGATCCATTCCCACTGGCAAACATTGTTCAATTGGTTGATGAGACAGTCGGTTGTGAGCTCATGAGCTTCATGGACGCCTTTTGAGGCTATCGCCATATCTTTATGCATGATTCTGACGCCTAGAAAATAGCTTTCATGACTCTAGAGGGCATTTTTGCTACCTGGTCATGTCAATTGGGATGAAGAACTAAGGAGCTACCTATACTCGTATGGTGGCCAGAGTCTTCAAAGTTGTGCTCAGCAGAACCATGGAGGAATATGTTGATGATATGATAGTTGATAAGTTCGTATTTAAACACGCATATGATGCGTGTTGGGGTCGGATTTTAATGCTTTACCTTGCTTTAAGGCATTGCAAGTCTCAATTTTAGCTCAAGTTGTGATTACCAGGCGTTGGGTCGAGTTTTGTTTCATTTGGAGTCAAATTGAAGAAGTTAAAGTCTGGCAATCGGCGCTTGAGAAGCAATCTTGAAGAGTTTGAAAGCATTCGAGAGAGATTTGAGAGATTTGGAGGTCACCAGGAGGTTCACGGCGAAGTTTTGATGAAGAAAGAGCATTTGGATCAACCTCGTATGCATCCGGGAGCATTTGAAGCAAGAAACGGCAAGAAACGGGAGCATTTGGATCGCGCCTGGGCCTAGGCACGGCCGTGCCTGGAGAAAGATCAAGCGACACCTCACTGCTTGCCAGGCACGATCGTGCCCGGCAGGCGAGGCACGATCGTGCCTAACCCCGAAACGCGCGTATGCTCCGCAGGCACGGTCGCAGGCACGGTCGCAGGCACGATCGTGCCTGGCGCCGTGCCTGGCCGCGATTTGTCCTATTTTAGCTAGAATTCACCCTTTTCTATAAAAAAAGGCCTCCATTCTTCCATTTAGAGGTTACGAACACTACGGAGACGCCTAGGGACGATTTTATCTGCGTTTTTACGTTTGTTTACTCTAAGAACCTGAGATATTTTGTAAGTTCATTCTTTTTAATTAATGACAATTTATTCTATTCATCCCAATTCTGTTGATTCTTCAATTATGAATTGTGAGTAGTTCAATTAGGGATTTGGGGTTGATGAAGGGGTAAATCATGATTGATGGCTAGATTCTTGTCGGTTTAATTGCATGAATGCCGTTTAATTTTTGTTTGAATAATTTAACTGATATCTTTTGTAACCTAGAACGACCGCTAGAATTAAAATTGCACATAGAATGAATTAATAGAGATCTAATTTGTTCTAGGACACCTTCACACACACTTAATCGTTCGCTAAGAGATTAGTAGCGATTAAGGGGCCGTAAGCTCGCTCGTCTTGGCAATAATTTAGGATCCTGTCGCATGAGAGATCAGCCTGGTCCCCTAAATTATTGTACTCTACGCCGCGAGAGCGATAAGAACTTAGTAATGATTAGCTAGGCTCAATTAAATTAATTTCATGAGATTAGACCTGATCTGCCAGAAATCTTGTTACCCTGGAATCAATCCCTGTTCCCTTCGTCGTTAATTGAGAAGAAACCAAACTTTTATTTTATTGCTCATTAGCATTAGTTTAATTTTCCAAACCAATCAATCTCGCACAATTGCATTTTATTTTATTTTATTTCTTTTTAATCGCTGAATTTAGTTAATCTTTAATTCCCCTTTGTCCGTCCTTGTGGAAACGATACTCGTACTTTTACCCACTATTCTACTACAATTTTTAGTGTGAGAAAACTCACATCAATAGTCAAAAGCAGAAAAGCCAGCACACACGCTGAGGATCTTGAAGAAATCTTCAAGATCATGGACAAGTTCAACCTCCGGCTGAACCATAAGAAATGCATGTTTTCACTTTATGAAGGCGAATTACTAGGCTATATGATTAGCCACCGATGGATTGAGTCAAACCCAGAAAAGGTGCAGGCCATCATTAACATGGAGCCGCCCAGAAACGTTAAAGAGGTTCAGAGGCTAACTGCAAAATTGACAGCCCCCAACCAGTTCATCACAAAGTTGGTTGAGCGTGTACTACCATTTTTCCTGATCATGAGAAAGTATGCAAAATTTAAGTGGACACCCGAAAGCCAGAAGGCATTCGATGACCTCAAACAATATCTGGTCTCCCTTCCAAACCTCTCAAAACTGGAACATGGAGAAGTATTAAATCTCTACCTGGGCGTTAGCCATGGGGTCGTGACCTTGGTCCTCATCCGAGAAGAAGATGGAGCTCAGAAGCCCATATATTACATAAGCAAAACAATGCGCGACGCTGAGCTCTGATACTCCCCAGTAGAGAAAACTGTTCTGGCATGCACAGTGGTAAGTACTGTGAAGAGGCTAGCACATTATTTCCAGGCACACGTAGTCCGCGTCCTCACCCACCAGTTGTTGGGACACCTCATGAGGAGTCCCACAAGCTCAGCCAGAATGGTCAAATGAGCTGTCTTTTTGAGCCAGTACCAGATCGAGATAAAACGTAACCAAGGTCGGCCATCAAAGGCCAAGCTCTCGCCGATTTCATGGCAGAATGTACGGCTAGAGATCTGACCCCAGTCACCTCAAATGACAAGGAAGGCTGGTGGAAGCTACTTACAGACGGTTCATCAGCCGCAAAAGCTTGAGAGGGGGGGTGTATTCATCACCCCTAGGGCTTCCGATCCTATTATGCAATACACTTCAACTTTAAAGTCTATAATAATGAGGCAGAGTATGAAGCCCTGAGGATCAAGTGCGATTCGAGGCTAATGATCGGGCAAATCAATGACTCATGTGAAACAAAGGAGGTCAGAATGAAAGAATACAAAGCAGATGCGCTGGAACTCCTAGGAGCATTCCGGCTGAACGAGATCTTGCAAATACCACGTGCGGAGAACCCGAAAGAAGGTCTGTCTAAACTGAGCTTGGATACACCTAGTACATATCAAAGATTGCTCAGGTGGAGGAACTGTCGACACCCAGCATACAGCGAGGCCTCATCCACCAGATCTAGCCCATCCCTAGGGACTGGATCATGTACCTAAAAGAGTACATAACCGATGCTAAACTGCTCGAGGGTGAGGCTGAGGTTGGGATTGTCAAACTTCGAGCTCCAAGCTATGCTGTCATCAAGGACAAACTGTACAAAAGATCTTACAACGGCACGCTTTTACGCTGCCTCCACATCGATCAACGATTCCAAGATAGCCATGGAAGAAGTACATGCAGGTGTTTGTTCGGCTCATCAAGTCCCCCACACCATGTACAGAAAACTCCTACTGCAAGGATACGTTTGGCCAACCATGGTAAAAGACTGCGCTCGCATGGCACACACCTACAATGCCTGCCAGCAATTTTTAGAAAGCCCTAGGGCTTCCGACAGTGAACTATGCCCCCATCATAACAATCATTCCATTCTCGCGGTGGGGTGTCGACCTCGTCGAACAGCTACCTCGGGGCATTGACAACTGCAAGTGGATAATTGTCGGCATAGACTACTTCACCAAATGGGTGGAAGCGGAACCACTAGCCAGCATAATAGAGGCATGAGGCAAAAAATTCATCACCAAGAATATCCTTACTCGCTTTGGTGTGTCACAACAGCTCATCACCGATAATGGCACTCAATTCGAGGCTAAGAATTTCCAAGATATGCTGGCCAGTTAGGGAATCAAACAGTACAGTGATAAGTCCATGTTTCGACACGCATTTGATGCGTGTTGAGATCGACTTTTGATGATTTTCCTAGCTTAAAGGCGTCATAAGTCTCATTTTAGCTCAAAGTCATATTTTATCGGGCGTTGGTTCGTGTTTGGTATTATTGGAGTCAAAATCAAGGAATTTGAGCCCGACACCGCCGCTTGAGAACCAATCGGGACGAGTCAAGATGCATTCGAGAGAGAATTGAGAGCTTTGGAGGTCACTGGGAGGTTTACAATGAAGATTTGATGACAAAAGAGCTCTAGAATTGGCTACGAGATCAAAAGAAAAGGAATAGAGCTTGAAAACGGCGATCGGGGTGACGTTCTTTCAAGGGCTACAAATCATATCATTTTGTAGAAACATCCACTGTACACGATTCAAGTTCCATATGAAACCTAACTTCAAGGACTACAAATCATATGAAGACACCATTACGAGAATATGAGAGGAGCAAGGTGTAAATAGACAATGAAGTCAGATGATCGCTATTGTGATTCCAGAATGCGACCTTCCACCATTTTATTCATATCTTTTGATTGGATGATTCAAACCCAGTTTTTCAAGTTGTGGTGGATAGAGTTCCTAAAAAATCTACCACTTTCTTAAAAAAGCTTATAATCCTAAATGAGGGTTAGGCCATTTTAGGGTTGAAATTTATGTTGGTGTAATCATTCGCTTTATTGTATGGTACATTGTGTTTTAAACTATGTACTTTTTAAAGGAATTGAGTCTTTCCGTTTAACTCCCGTTATTAGCTCCCGTCTGTTTGTTTACGGCTTGCCCCGGTCCGCACACCTTCAGCTCCCCTCACCTCAAATCACCACTAACCCTCACTTAGCGCGCATAGTAGCTCTCATCCGCGCCCTAACCAAACCCAGCTAGCTCCAGTCGTTTCCGCTCTCATCCAGGTTTGTTTCCCTGCCGTTTCTCCAATTTTTTCTCAGCTATACTCATCTCCTTTCTCATTAATGTCCCATATTATTATGTTATTCAATTCGTTATCGTTCATTACATCACCAACCGAAGTGATTTCAACGTTATATACTGACTTACGGAGGATTACGGAGACCCCTAGCTCCTAAATTCTGTTTCAGCCGCTCAGCCTTCTAGGCTCCATCACTATGGCTTCTGGACATCAGGATTACGGAGGAAGTTCTCCCCTGTTACTCTTCTAAGTTTTTCCTCTTTACCATGTGACAACCTCGGTTTAAAAATCTGTTGAACAATTGCTTCCTCTATATACATGTTTCAAAACCTTGTCGTTACGTCATAAGAACCAACACAGAAAACTTTATCACCTAAAGAAGTAGTGGTTTATCATACGTAGTATGAACTACTATCCAAAAATTGTAAAGATTTATGATGAAAATTTTGATAAATTACGATGTATTTATTGGGACTGATTGCAGTCCTAGACCAGATCAAAATAGACCAAATCAAATTTATGCAGAGCAGTCCAAAGTTAAACAGATCAGACCAGGATACGCTAGATATAAAATACACATAGGTCAGACATCACTAGACAAGATGAGACTTAAACAGACCCGATCATACCAGATCAAACCAAATCAGGTCAGAAAATTACAATCCAATTTTAAACATCCTAATAGCCTAAACATGTACTAGATATGTCTTATGATACTTTCTAAAATTAGGAAAACATGATCTGGCCCTTATATGAGTGTGATTTTTATTTTATTTAGTTCTTGGGCTCTAGCCTCTTTCATGATTAATGAATGTTAGATAGTGTATTTCTATCTAAGTTGATATAAGTGACAACATGCCAAATGCTAAAAGCAATCATATCAAATAAACATACAATGTACATAACTTCCAATAAAAACCACATTCTTAATAAGTTCTTCTCTTGGCATGGTAGATATGTTGACGTCAGGTGGGGTTTCTTTCTGTGACCCCAACCCTAATAGATTAGCAATCCAAGAGAGGGCCTTTCTAAAAACTCTAGCATCCCCTGCTGCCCCGCTTCCTTTTCTTCTTTTTCTAACACATATTGAGACGGTGTATACAAAGTTGCTGTTAGGTTCCAAGACAAAGGTTTACCAGGAAGCCGTAGGCATACCTAGAAAATGATAAGTAGAGTTGGTATTGAGTTCATGTAAGACTCCTAGTCAAAGGTATTAAGTCTGCTAGTGCTTTAACTCATCCCATCATTTATTATGATGGATAAGGCAGTCCAGCTTTTCATCCAAATTGTGCCAGCATATTTTTTGGGTTATTAGGGTTTGTCTTGCAATCAGATTTAAAGAGAAGGGAAGACATAAAGAAGATAACAACAGATGTGAATTATAGCTAACAGGTAATCCAATATTCAAAATGCAAAATGATTATATGATTGAATGATCAAGCCTGCTTATCTAACCTAAGAACATGAAATGTGAGTTACTTAAAAGAGTGACTCATGCATTATCCTTGAGCTACTTATTTCCTTGCTTCTTAGTTTGTCTAGCAGCAAGAATAGGAAGTCATAAGTAGTGGTAAATCCGTGTAGCTATCAGTTTAAACCAAGGATTGCTGCTGCGAAAATGTTTAATGCCTTATTCTATTCTATGAAGATGATATCTAGTGCTATAATAAGCTGTCGAAATAGAAGCTGCCACTGGAATGTGGGATAAAGGATGAATTGTCCAAGTGTTACAATAACAGCGCCAATGTTTAGAGTAGTTTCAGCAGTTGCAATACAAACATGTTGATCACTTCACTTCCTCCTTGAATATAGCTTGAACAGAAAGTATCCTCCAGCCCTCCAACTGGTGTAAGAAAGCTTGCAGCATAAATGTTGACTCGAGTGAGTGTGTTGACCACAGCAGTACCACTAAGGAGAAGCATAGCAGTTATGGTTGTCAAGAAACAGAACCATAGGGACACTATATGAGCAGCGGTTTCCCATCTTAAGAAAAACCGATTATACTTTAGGATATGCATGGATCTTCGAAAAATGCCAGGAATGAAAAAAATGCGAAGGAAAGTTACTTCCCTGTGTTTGGTTTTTACCACGGAAAACGAAAAAGAAAGTAAAATATTATTAATGCTTCATTTTTCACATATATTTTTTAGAATTCATTGTGTTTGTACTTTGTATAAGAAGTGGTTTTAAAAAAGAATTTGAATAGATAGTAAGAATTAGTTTATTGGGTATGGACTAATATTTAATTTTCACAACATTTTATTTCTTTTCATTTTCTATAGAAATTTCATTATTTCTCCCTAAGATTTTCTGTGTTTTAAGGGCACTTATTACACAGAAAATCTAGGATTCAAGGGTCCATTCTCTAATTAGTAAAATCACAAGATTACTAGGTTGCCATAACATGTGGGTAAGGGGGAATTCATAAATTTCATATGATTGGGATCATAGTTGCAATTAAGTAAACTCCAAAACTGATTTAAGTCTTTTCTCCATTTTTCTCTTAACTTGTAAATCATAGTGTTTCCCCTTTCCCGCTACATAGCTCTTGATTCTATTTAATGCAAGTCATGTGACTGTTATCAGGGTAGTCCTACTATGGTTACAACATCCAAAGAGTGAGTCAAAAAACAACTTGAATTTGTTTAAGCTAATGAGCTTTCACAGGTAAAAAATCGATTTTCTCCATATCATTTGTCCTTTTGATATCGGCTTGAAACTTTGATTCGCTTTCATGCATAAATTTGTTTGTTTATAATATCTTGTCGATTGTTAATTTTGATTTTCTTATCATATTTTATCATTTGGTTATTTTGATATTGAATATCCAATTTTCTTCTTATTCTTATGTTGTTGTGTTAAATGTGTTTACTTTTTACATTGGTTTGATTATTAGGTTTGTTTGACATCAGGTATTTTGTTTTTATTCAGGTGTGAAAATTTAACCACTTTAATTTCATGTTCTTTTATTGATTAAAGGTTCTAATAATAGAGCTTGGAAAACTGCAACTTCACTATTTGTTTTTTTAACATACATTATTTGGAATATAGTTTTGGGTTTTGCTTTATATGCAAAATAAAACGCCTTCATTGTGTGAGGATGGTTGTATTATAAGAAATGTTTGTGCTGTTTCTTCTCACTACAAACTTTATTTCACTTTTGTTCTTTTTGTGTGAAGTTTGAATTTCATAGCAAGCTCTACAAAAATATTACCTATATATATATAATGGGCATTTACCCGATCGTGCAACGCGCGTATGAAAAACTAGTCATGATAGAAGCATTATCAAATTCGGAAGGGAAGGGGGCACGCCGTGCGCCCGAAGTCAGGCGCGTCGTGCCCGCAGAAGGAAACAACACTAAAGCTACTGTCGTCCACACTCGCCGAGTGTGGCAGGGACGCTCGCCGCGCGTGACCTCGGGACGCGTTTTTTACTCCGGAGACATAGACGCCAGGCACGCCATGCCTAGCGCTGTGCCTGCCTCTGGAATCTCCCAATTTGAGCTGAATTCTTCTGTTTTCTATAAATAAGGCCTCTAAACCCCTATTTTTGGGTTACGGAATTTAGAGAGAGGTATAGGGACGAGTTTTACGTTGTTCTTCCGCTATTTGTTCAAGACTCTGAGATTATTTGTAAGTTCCTACTTTTTAATTGATGACAATTAATTCTTTTCATCCCAATTCTATAGATTCTTCCTGTGTGAATTGTGAGTAGTTTTAATTAGAGATTTGGGATTGATGAAGGGATTAATCATGAAGTATGGGCCGTATGGCTAAATTTATGATGGATTAATTGCATGAATGATGTTTAATTTGTGTTTGAATGATTTAATTGATATTTCTTGTAACCTACAACTGCAGCTAGAATTACAATTGTTTGTCGAATAAATTAATAGAGATATAGTTTATTCTAAGACACCTTCGATTCACACACACCTAATCGTTCGCTAAGAGATTAATAGCGATTAAGGGGCCGTATGCTCACTCGTCTTGGCAATATTTTAGGATCCTGTCGCATGAGAGATCAGTCTGGTCCCCTAAACTATTGTACTCTACGCCACGAGAGAGGTAATAAGTTAGTAATGATTTGCGTTGCTCAATTAAATTAATTTCATGTAATTAAGTTTGATCTGCCAAAAATCTGGTTACCCTGGAATCAATCCATGTTCCCTTCGTTGTTAATTAGAAAAAACCAAGCTTTTTATTCGTTTAATCGCATTTTAATTTCTCAAACCAACCAAACTCGCACCATTGCATATATTTATTTTCTTTTTAATCGCTGAATTTAGTTAATTCTTCATTCCCTTTTGTCCATCCCTGTGGAGACGATACTCGTACTTACACCACTATTCTATTATCTATTTTTAAGTGCGAGAAAACTCACATCATACAGCCTCCGTCGCATATCCACAATGCAACGGACAAGTCGAAAACGCCAACCGTACCATCCTCAAAGGCATAAAAAAGAAACTCACCGAAGAGGGCTGAGGTTGGGCTGAAGAGTTCCACAACATACCGTGGGCTTACACATAACAACACCTCGGCGAGCAAGAGGTGAAACATCTTTCTCACTTTGTTATGGCGTTGAAGCCAAAGCTCCCACCGAGCTCACACTGCCAACACAGCGGGTCATTCCATACAACCCCGAAGAGAATGAGCAGAACATGCATATTGATCTCAATCTGATTGACGAGCGTAGAGAAAGCGCCTTGATAACCGCTTTCGCGGCGTTGTAGTAAAACGGAGTCTAACCTTTCGGTTTTTCCCCGAGTGTCGTGTCTCTTGAGGAATGGCGGAGAAGTTTCTTAATTTAATTTTAGTCACGGGCTATCGCTAATCGTTGGAAGCTTTTTCAATATAGGAAAGTGATTTTGTTCTATATTATGCTAAATTATACTAGGAGCAAGGTGCAATTTAAAGATTAATGTATAAAGATTGAATATTCAAGGATGCAAATAAGGGCAATGAATTGAGTAATTAGAAATGGATATGTTCTTGGACCTCTTAATTAGGGAAATTAAGACTAAAGTTGGACTAATAATTTCTTTCCTCATAGACAAGAATAGAAACTATCTTCATTAATTTATCCTATTTCTAGGTATCATTAATGTGTTTAAAATGGTTGGCTTAAATTATATTCTAAACCCATAGACAAGGTAGAAATAATTTTCCAATATTTTAATTAATAAAAATAGCCAAATTCATTAACTAGTTAAACTCTTTATTTTAGCAATTGAATTTATTTCTCATAGACAAGATGTAAATCCTTTTCATTAAATTATCCTATTTCTAGGCCTTATTAATGTGCTCAAATATGGTTGGCTCAAATTAATTTCTAATCTCATAGACAAGTTAGAAATAATTTTCCAAGAATTTAATTAATGAAAATGGCTAACTATTATTAATTACTATTTCATCATTTTAAACAACTAGTCCAATTTATTAATCTTAACCCCTAATTTTAGGTCAACAAGTCAATCCATATTCCTTTTCTCAATTCATGCCCTAACAAATTTAGCTACTCATCACCATTTTTGCAATTAACAATATAATGATTAAATTCAACATTAACAAGGAATTAAATATGTATGATAGCAAAAATTAAACAAAAATTATATTCTGGAACAATAAACTTGTAAGAACTAAAATATAACTTTCTGGAATTTTTCACAAATTTTTGAACCTAAAATCCAATTTTTAACAACTAATTGATAACTTTCCCAATTTTAACTAGAAAATGCAAAAAGCAACTAAAAATATGCTAACTTCGTTATAAATTTTATTTTAACTACTGGGAGGTATATAACTGTGAATAAACTGTAATCAGGTCCGAACTAATTTTTTTTCCTTTTTTTAGTATTTATTTTGATTTAAGCAATAATATAAGGTAATTACCGAAATTAATAAAAAAAACGCTAAGTTCGTACAAAATTTTATATTAACTACTAGTAATGATATTTAAGTTAACTAAACTGTAAATAGGGCCGAACTCATTTTTTTCCTTTTTTTTTCTAGTATTTATTCTAAATTATGAACTAATATCAAATAATTACCAAAATTAATTAAAAATTACTTCTGCTTCGTGAAAAATTAATTTCTTCAGCTAAATAACTTCCTTGAGGCTAGTGAACAACTATATAATTAATTGGAATGAATTCAACAACAATAACTATTTTATTTAATTTTTGGAAGGAAATGCGAAATACTTGAAAAATAATCTGGAAATTTTTGAAGAACAGATCGAAGAAACAAAGCACAGATTCAGATTCTACACATTGAGAAGATGAAAATACATATAAAGAACTTACAATTTGGAGCTAAAATGAAGAAGATATGAAGATTTGAAGTTTCTCTCTCTCTAAGACCTTTGGAGCTCGAAAATGGAGGAAGAAAGAAGGTGTTTTGAACTGATTTAGGGTTGGAAGAGGTGTGTTTGAGTTGAGGAAAAATCGGGCAATTTATAGGAAAAATTTCCCCGAAGGCGCCCGGGCAGGCGGCCGCCTTCCGGCAGCAACTGGCCGCCTGCCGTCAGTTCGCCGGCAACGACACGTGGCCTGGTCTCCGTCAGCCGTAGGCGGCCACAGAGGGCGGCCGCCTTCCGTCACCCATCGGCCGCCTGCCGTCTTTTCACTGTCAAATCGGATCCCGGCGGATCCCGGCGGATCCCGGCCGCCGCAGGCGGTCCAGCAGGCGGCCGCCTGCCGTTCCTGTCTGGCCGCCTGCCGTCAAATCCCACCGGCCGGTGGTTGCTTCGTCGTCTTCTGCCGCAGGCGGTCACCGTAGGCGGCCGCCTTCCGTCCAGTGTCGGCGGCCTACGGTCTTTTCCGAATCCGGTCAAAGTCAAAGTTTGACTTTCCAAAAATACCGTAGGCGGCCGCGAAGGCCTTCGTTTTGGCCGTCTGTTTGGGCGCCTATGAGATTCTTTGTCCGGCTTGTTCCTTGTTTTGTGCTCTTCAATATTGTCTTCTGGACCACTTTGAAATAATGTTTCCTTCTTTTGGTATGATATCATTTGTTGTCCAAATTGGCTCATTTTGTGCTCAATTGACCCGAAATCCCGCTAAACATATTATGGATGTGATTTTTACCTGATTTCATGAAACTCGAACCAAAATATCTAAAACATGCCTTTTCTTTCTATTTTTATTCAAAAATCGCTTAAATTTGATAAGAAAAATAAGTACAAAAATGGACTTATCAATCTCCTCACACTTAAGCGTTGCTTGTCCTCAAGCGACGAATTAGTTGTAAACACACTCAAAAGGTAAAGTCTAACTGTATTACAATCTAATTGCTATTTTAAAGAAGTAGAAACAAAAACCTCTTCTTTTTATTCTCAATCTTTAAACATTTTAGAAAAATCACCCCAAAATACAAGAGTTTAAAATTAGTATTACTTAAGAAAAACTATTTATTATGTTAAACCACCAATCAATTCCTTATCCCAAGGTTTTCATTATTCTAATTGGGACATTCATCTTGTTCACCATTTTTTTTTTTTTTTTTTTTTATTTTTTTTTTTTTTGCTCTTTTTCACTCTTGTTGGCGGTGTTATCCCATGGTAAATGCATATTTCATTCTCACAGACTGTGATTAACGAATGAAACAGAGCCCCTTTTCGGAGATGGAATTGTCCTATAACAATGAGTTTTGGAGTTTTATTAATACTAACATTTTTGTTTTAATGAATAAAATGAATGTCCAATTAAAACAAATTCAGCCCTTTACATTCACAACCAAAAACCCATAACAAATTCAAGTTTTCTAAATAATAATAAAAGTAAATTCTTATAATAAGGGTGATTATCTAAGCTAATTATGAGATTGATAACAAATTGAGAAATTAATGTTTCATGTCAAAAATAGTAAAAAGATTGTTCTAAAATAAGGTTTTAGCTTTTGAGTGTAAAACGCAACCTCCTCACACTTGAGCTGGACCTCGCCCTCGAGGTCTTCTTTTGAGGCACAAAACTGGGAAATAAAGGCACATTTTTTTTTTTTTTTTTTTTTTTGGTTCTTTCCTCACACTTGAGTTTTGAAAAGATTTTGTGAAGAGGAATAATGAAACAGGAGTAAAATGGTTTTTTAAAATCCTTACATCATCCATAGTCAGTTTGTAAGAGCATTCAAGTCAAAAGAGCAGCGCAATGTCCAACCTGAAGAAACAAACAAACACAATAAAAAAAATATGTCAAGGAAGAAGCAAAACTAAGCATCGCCTGCGTAATCCCGAGGGCCATAGTGTGGCCTAAGCCAGTCTCTCATCTCATCAATATCTAGCCTCTGGGTCTCTAGCTCCGCCTGCATATCCTGGGTGGCTCTCTCCTGAGCTAATCGAAAGTCTCTGAACTCTCCCAGGGCCGACTCATGCGCCTCTCGTATCTCCTGGAATCCTCTGTCCTGTGCAACCCGCATCTCTGAGACTGAGGTCTGGAGAGTCCGCATCCCATCCATCATCGCTCTCCAATCTGCGGCGCTAGGCATGTCTGAAAAGGGCTCGCTAGATCCCTCATGTCGAGAAGAACTACCCTGCTGGGTCGGCTGCTCAATACCTGGGAGCTCCTGAGTATTCCGCTTCTTCTTGATCCTCATGTTGGTAAAGGATGAGGATCGAAGAACGCGGATGCTATCCTGTAAGTGCAGTAGCCCTGGAATGTCTAGATCTGGGTAGAATGATCTAACGAGAGTAGTGATGAAAGGCCCTGCCTGGATAGTGCGCCGCACAGTCTTCCCCTGGCTCCGGAAGAAACGAGCCATAAGGACAGCCATATTCACCGGGATGCGGTGAATTAAACTCCAAAAGAATAGTATGTCCTTTTTGGACAACCTGTTTGTGTTGTTAGGTCGTCCAAAAAAACCACAAGAAAGTACGAACGAGAGTATGTACCAGTGAGTCGCCCTCCATTTGTTCGAATGGGGGTGCATCCGGAGAAATGATCTGGTGTCTGTGGAGTGTCTGTGCCAGAACTCATCAATGTCAAATGCCTCGGGTAAGCGGGTCGGAAGAGCACGGAACTCCTCAGTCTGTGTGTATGCTGGGGTATAGAGCCCCATCCTCCATCCGAGCTCAGCCACAGTGATGGAGTGCTCCATGCCTAGAATAGTAAACCTCATCCGAGACTCTGACCCAATAACAGCACCCTCTTGCACAGCCTGTCCGTAATGAGTGAACTGAACGGAGCACAGAAACTCCATCGTCAATGGAAGGCTGGCCCTCTCCTGGACGAATAGAATCCTCCGCCATAAAGAGTCTCCTAGCAGGGAATCAATCTCATCCCAGTACCCCCATTCCTCTAGCATCGTCGGGTCCAGGATCATGGGAGGAAGGAGCGTGCGGTATTGCCCCCATGCCTGGAAGCGTCTGCGATCAGCAATAGTAGCAAATGGGATATCAGGCTGAGGTGGCGGGTCTTCCCGTCCTAGTGGTGGCTCCTCGAAAATGGGATCGTCACGTCTTCCTCCAGACATCTGCAAGAAATAAACAAAGTAAAATATTTTTGGGTTAGTTTTTTTTTTTTTTTTTTTTTTTTTTTTTTTTGTGTGTTGGGTTGCCTCCCAATTAGCGCTTCTTTAACGTCACTAGCTTGACGAATGTCCTCCCTTGGTTCAAAATTTTTGGAGATAGAGAATCTCCTTGCTTTTTTCAATTGGACCACCATGGTACAGTTTAAGTTGGTGGCCGTTGACTTTAAAGGGACCCCCATTAGCATCTTCAATCTCAACCGTTCCGTAGGGGTAAGCTTTTATGACCTTGAACGGTCCGGACCATCTTGACTTAAGCTTTCCCGGAAAAAGCTTCAACCTGGAGTTGAACAACAGCACTTTATCTCCAGCATTGAAATCACGAGCTTTGATGTGTTGATCATGGTAGAGTTTGGCTCGTTCTTTGTAAAGTTTGGAATTATGAAAAGCTTGCGCTCTCCATTCTTCCAGTTCATTCAGCTGGTAAAATCGTTCCTTCCCTGCAGCATCCAGTTTAAAACAAACATTTTTCATCGCCCAAAGTGCTTTATGCTCGAGTTCGACGGGTAAGTGGCAAGACTTCCCGTATACAAGGCGAAAAGGTGTGGTTCCGATCGGGGTTTTGTATGCAGTCCGAAATGCCCAAAGAGCGTCGTCAAGTTTAGTCGACCAGTCTTTCCTGGTCTGGGCAACAGTTTTCTCCAGAATGGACTTCAAATCCCTGTTAGCGTTCTCCACTTGTCCCTGAGTCTGGGGGTGGTACGCTACTCCGCTTCGATGTTGGACTCCATATTTGGCCAAAATTCTGGCCATTGGATCATTGTGGAAATGAGTCCCTCTATCGCTGATCAAAACCCTAGGCACACCAAATCTGGTAAAGAGCTTTTTCAGAAAATTCACGACTACTCGAGAGTCGTTGGTGACACAGGCCTGGGCTTCAACCCATTTAGAAACATAATCAATGGCCACAAGAATGTATTTGTTTCCTCTTGAGCTTGGGAAAGGTCCAACAAAGTCGATGCCCCAAACATCAAATACCTCACAAGGTAAGATAAAGTGTTGGGGCATCTCATTGCGCCCAGAAATGTTCCCGATTCGTTGACAGTTATCACAAGAGGAAACAAATTCATTAGCATCTTTAAAAATCGTGGGCCAGAAGTACCCACAGTCCAAAACCCGCCTTGCGGTTCTATTCCCTGAGAAATGGCCCCCAGTAGGGCCGCTGTGACAATGCTCCAGAATGTCCCTTGCCTCAGCTTCAGTAACACATCTTCTCACCACCTGGTCAGCACAAATTCGGAATAGATATGGATCATCCCAAAAATAGTGCTTTGCTTCTGATAAGAACCGCCTCTTCATGTGTCTCGTCAGTTCAGTAGGCTCGACTTTACCAACAAGGTAGTTGGCAATGTCGGCATACCACGGTGTTTGCTCCTTGGCGGATATAGCCATCAGTCTCTCAGCAGGAAAGAGTTCCTCAATTTCGCATTTTCCGAAAGTTTCTGCTAACTCGGCATCTAACCTCGAGAGGTGATCAGCTGCCTGATTAGCAGATCCTTTTCGGTCCCTGATTTCAATATCAAATTCCTGCAACAAAAGAACCCAGCGTAACAGTCTAGGCTTAGCATCATGCTTTTGGAGGAGATATCTAATGGCCGAATGGTCGGTATAGATAATAACCTTCGAAAGAATGATGTAAGTCCTAAACTTCTCTAAAGCACAAACAATAGCAAGGAATTCTTTTTCAGTGGTGGTGTAGTTGAGTTGTGGCCCTGACAGAGTTTTGCTAGCGTAGTAGATTGGGTGGAAGTTCTTGTCCTTCCTTTGACCAAGAATGGCCCCCACTACTAAGTCACTAGCGTCACACATGAGTTCAAAGGGTAAACTCCAATCTGGGGCCACAAGCACCGGTGCATTGATCAGTTGTGTTTTAAGTGCTTGGAAAGCATGGTGACATTCATCAGAGAATATAAAAACAGCATCCTTTTCAAGTAACCGGGTGAGAGGTTTTGCGATTTTAGAGAAATCCTTTATAAAACGACGATAAAAGCCCGCGTGTCCTAAGAAGCTGCGGATGGCTTTTACCGTGGTTGGTGGAGGAAGTTTCTCTATTGTCTCAATTTTTGCACGGTCCACCTCTACCCCGTTACTTGACACTTTATGTCCAAGTACTATACCCTCTTTCACAAGGAAGTGACATTTCTCCCAACTTAGGGCTAAATGGGTTTCCTTGCAGCGGATAAGTACTTTTTCCAGGTTTTCAAGGCATTTTTCAAATGTTTCCCCAAAAATAGAGAAGTCATCCATGAATACCTCCATGAAGTGGCCAATGTATTTTTCAAAAATGGCAATCATGCACCTCATGAAGGTGGCAGGGGCATTACAGAGACCGAAAGACATCCTACGAAAAGCAAAGGTCCCAAAAGGGCATGTAAACGTAGTTTTGTCTTGGTCTTCCGGGTTGACATGGATTTGGAAGTATCCACTCATGCCATCCAGGAAACAGTAGTGACTATGGCCTGCCAACCTCTCTATTAATTGATCGATGAAGGGAAGGGGAAAATGGTCTTTCCGGGTGGCTTCGTTAAGTTTGCGGTAATCGATTACCATTCGCCACCCGGTAACAGTTCGACTGGGTAGAAGTTCGCCCTTTTCATTTTTCATGACGGTCATTCCCCCCTTTTTGGGGACAACATGAATAGGGCTTACCCACTGGCTATCAGAGATGGGGTAAATGATACCCGCATCCAGCAGTTTGACAATCTCAGCACGCACTACTTCCATCATGTTTGGGTTTAAACGTCGTTGTGGTTGGACAACTGGTTTAAACCCTTCCTCAATTTTGATGGTGTGGGTACAAAAGGTGGGGCTAATTCCATTGATGTCCTCAAGTTTCCAAGCAATTGCTTGCTTGTGTGTCTTAAGGACTCCAAGTAATTTCTCCCTTTGTTCCTCACTTAAGTGTGCGGCGATGACGACAGGGCATTTGCCTTCGTCATCCAAGAATGCATATTCTAAGTGGTCGGGCAGTTTCTTTAGTTCGAGGGGGTGGTCGTTTTTCAAGTTTTGTTCATTTTTCTCCCCCTCAAACTCAGTCAATACTTCGTTAGAAGCTTGATCAATCAGCGCATCCTCACAACTCTCACATGCATCACTCACATCACTGTTGGCTTCTTTTAACAGACATGCTTCATCAGTTACATGTCCATTTTCTTCCCCAAACAGATACCCTTCAATAGACTCAAAGGTATCAAGAAAATGACATCCTTGAAAGGAATCTGTGGGGTGTTTCATAACATCTGAGAGTCGGAAGGTGCAAAGATCATCTCCGACTCTTAGAGTTAATGAGCCATCAGTGACATCAATCAAGGCCCTGGCGGTAGCCAGAAAGGGCCTTCCCAGAATAAGAGGTGTTTCCCTATCCTCTTCCATGTCCATTACTACAAAGTCGACTGGGAAAATGAATTTGTCAACCTTGACCAGGACGTCTTCAACAATTCCTTTCGGATATTTGACTGAGCGATCAGCCAGTTGAAGACACATCCTGGTAGGTTTCATTTCCCCAAGTCCTAGCTTTTCGACTATAGAGGAAGGCATCAGATTGATACTTGCCCCTAAGTCAGCTAGAGCATTATTGAAATTGAAATTGTCAATAGAGCAAGGGATAGTGAAACTACCTGGATCCTTTAGCTTTTCGGGTATTGACCTTAGAACCACGGCCGAGCATTCTGCGTTTAAGTCCACGACTGAGAGCTCCTGCAGCTGCCTCTTGTTTGTCAGCAAGTCTTTGAAAAACTTGGCATATTTGGGCATCTCTGCTAAGGCATCCATCAGCGGCAGGTTGACATGGAGTTGTTTGAGTAGGTCCAGGAATTTGTTGTACTTCCTGCTATCGTCATCATTTCTAACCCGTGAAGGAAACGGGAGAGAAGGTTTGACGATAGTGACCCTTGTGTTAGGGCGTGTTGGTTCCATGCTCTTCTCAGTTGGAGCATCAGTTTGTTTCTCAGGTTCCATGGTCGGGGTACCTTCCTCTTCCTTGTCTTTCTGCTCAGCCACAGTTGTTTGTCTCCCGCTTCGGAGAGTGATGGCTTGCACATGTTCACGGGGGTTTGGTTCCGTGGTGCTAGGCAAGTTGCCTGGCTGACGACCGGGAACATTGTTCTGATTAATTTGCATCATTAGATTTTTGATCTGATTGTCAGTGCTGGCCTTGTATCTTGACATTTCCTCCCGTGTCCTTGCCAGTTCTGCAACCAGCAGGCCTATCTCTGATGGCTGGGCAGCCTCCGTTTGTCGTTGGTGTGGAGGCACATAAGCTTGGTTGTTCTGTTGGGCTGGTGCACCTCCCTGGTTCCGACTCTGGAAGTTGTTCCCTTGATTATTGTTGGGGTAGTTTTGATTACCTTGATAACCGCCGCGAGGAGGACCATTGTTGTAATCCCCCCGCCATTGGTTACCTTGGTAATTCCTTCCTTGGAAATTCTGAGGAGGGTAGTTGGAGTTACCCCCTCTGTTGCCCTGATTCGCCCATGGCCCTTCTTGTTTTGTTCGGCCATACTCCAGCATGTTCACTTCCCTGTTGTTGTTTACATTACATTCATCGACTAATTGACATGAGTTGGTCAAATGTGGACCAAAACATATCTCACATGAGAGTACAAGTTCAGTTGAATGAGAAACAGGTGAAAAAGTATTAAATTGAGATGACTGTGGAGCAGAGCTTGAGTTCCCGAAGTATCGGGATGATTGTTGATTCGGGACAGCACCGATGTTGTTGACTTGGTTGGTGTGATTGTTATCATTCTTCAAATTCTTCACTTCCACGACCAATCCTTCAATCTTCGCTGTTAGGGCCGTGAGTTGGTCAACTTCAAGATAGCCTGGTTTTGTTGCTGCTGGAGTTCTTTCGTCATACCAGTATCTTGCATTTGAAGTGACCTTCTCCACCAGAGCTTCGTTGGTGTTGGGTGCCATGTCAAGGAATGATCCCACCTGAGAAGAGAAATCAAGTTCTTTTTTGCTACTAACTTGAAGTCCATTGTAAAAATGGAACATCAAGCTACTAGAATCCATCAGTGTGAGTGGACATTTGTTTCTCATATCCTTGAAACGATCCCATGCTTCACTTAAGGACTCCATCGGGAATTGCCTAAAGTTTTGGATTGCTGTTTTAATTTTAGCAACTGCCGATGGAGGAAAGTATTCTTGCATGAATGCTTGGTGCAGTGCCGCCCATGTTGTGAAGTGACCCGTTGGAAAGCTATTCAGCCACAAAGATGCCCTATCCCGTAATGAGAAGGGAAATAAGGTCAACTTTGCGGCGTCGGAGGTCACTCCGTTAAAGCGGAACGTTTGGCATGCTCGGGTGAACCACAACATGTGGGCCCTAGGGTCATCTTGCTTGGACCCGCCAAATTGATGGTTGGACATCATGTTGACAATGGCGGGTTTGATCTCGAAATTGGCTGCCTCGATTGCCGGTGCGCTGATACTATCATCCTCGATGAAGTTTGGCGTAAGATTTTGCAACACCGTCCTTTCTCCCGCCATGCTTGGTTTCTTGTGGATTGAAAGATTTTTCCACAAAGTTCGTTCAGGTTCAGGATCAAGTTCAATTAGACCTTCCACTCCTTTAGAGCGGGTGTGCATTCATTTATCCTGAAACCTTTATACAAATTGTCGCAAGGGCGAAAAAGTCTCCCTAACTAGAATTCACCTATGCTAGAACTAAATCAAGAATTAATCGTGCCATTCCCCGGCAACGGCGCCATTTGATAACCGCTTTCGCGGCGTTGTAGTAAAACGGAGTCTAACCTTTCGGTTTTTCCCCGAGTGTCGTGTCTCTTGAGGAATGGCGGAGAAGTTTCTTAATTTAATTTTAGTCACGGGCTATCGCTAATCGTTGGAAGCTTTTTCAATATAGGAAAGTGATTTTGTTCTATATTATGCTAAATTATACTAGGAGCAAGGTGCAATTTAAAGATTAATGTATAAAGATTGAATATTCAAGGATGCAAATAAGGGCAATGAATTGAGTAATTAGAAATGGATATGTTCTTGGACCTCTTAATTAGGGAAATTAAGACTAAAGTTGGACTAATAATTTCTTTCCTCATAGACAAGAATAGAAACTATCTTCATTAATTTATCCTATTTCTAGGTATCATTAATGTGTTTAAAATGGTTGGCTTAAATTATATTCTAAACCCATAGACAAGGTAGAAATAATTTTCCAATATTTTAATTAATAAAAATAGCCAAATTCATTAACTAGTTAAACTCTTTATTTTAGCAATTGAATTTATTTCTCATAGACAAGATGTAAATCCTTTTCATTAAATTATCCTATTTCTAGGCCTTATTAATGTGCTCAAATATGGTTGGCTCAAATTAATTTCTAATCTCATAGACAAGTTAGAAATAATTTTCCAAGAATTTAATTAATGAAAATGGCTAACTATTATTAATTACTATTTCATCATTTTAAACAACTAGTCCAATTTATTAATCTTAACCCCTAATTTTAGGTCAACAAGTCAATCCATATTCCTTTTCTCAATTCATGCCCTAACAAATTTAGCTACTCATCACCATTTTTGCAATTAACAATATAATGATTAAATTCAACATTAACAAGGAATTAAATATGTATGATAGCAAAAATTAAACAAAAATTATATTCTGGAACAATAAACTTGTAAGAACTAAAATATAACTTTCTGGAATTTTTCACAAATTTTTGAACCTAAAATCCAATTTTTAACAACTAATTGATAACTTTCCCAATTTTAACTAGAAAATGCAAAAAGCAACTAAAAATATGCTAACTTCGTTATAAATTTTATTTTAACTACTGGGAGGTATATAACTGTGAATAAACTGTAATCAGGTCCGAACTAATTTTTTTTCCCTTTTTTAGTATTTATTTTGATTTAAGCAATAATATAAGGTAATTACCGAAATTAATAAAAAAAACGCTAAGTTCGTACAAAATTTTATATTAACTACTAGTAATGATATTTAAGTTAACTAAACTGTAAATAGGGCCGAACTCATTTTTTTCCTTTTTTTTTCTAGTATTTATTCTAAATTATGAACTAATATCAAATAATTACCAAAATTAATTAAAAATTACTTCTGCTTCGTGAAAAATTAATTTCTTCAGCTAAATAACTTCCTTGAGGCTAGTGAACAACTATATAATTAATTGGAATGAATTCAACAACAATAACTATTTTATTTAATTTTTGGAAGGAAATGCGAAATACTTGAAAAATAATCTGGAAATTTTTGAAGAACAGATCGAAGAAACAAAGCACAGATTCAGATTCTACACATTGAGAAGATGAAAATACATATAAAGAACTTACAATTTGGAGCTAAAATGAAGAAGATATGAAGATTTGAAGTTTCTCTCTCTCTAAGACCTTTGGAGCTCGAAAATGGAGGAAGAAAGAAGGTGTTTTGAACTGATTTAGGGTTGGAAGAGGTGTGTTTGAGTTGAGGAAAAATCGGGCAATTTATAGGAAAAATTTCCCCGAAGGCGCCCGGGCAGGCGGCCGCCTTCCGGCAGCAACTGGCCGCCTGCCGTCAGTTCGCCGGCAACGACACGTGGCCTGGTCTCCGTCAGCCGTAGGCGGCCACAGAGGGCGGCCGCCTTCCGTCACCCATCGGCCGCCTGCCGTCTTTTCACTGTCAAATCGGATCCCGGCGGATCCCGGCGGATCCCGGCCGCCGCAGGCGGTCCAGCAGGCGGCCGCCTGCCGTTCCTGTCTGGCCGCCTGCCGTCAAATCCCACCGGCCGGTGGTTGCTTCGTCGTCTTCTGCCGCAGGCGGTCACCGTAGGCGGCCGCCTTCCGTCCAGTGTCGGCGGCCTACGGTCTTTTCCGAATCCGGTCAAAGTCAAAGTTTGACTTTCCAAAAATACCGTAGGCGGCCGCGAAGGCCTTCGTTTTGGCCGTCTGTTTGGGCGCCTATGAGATTCTTTGTCCGGCTTGTTCCTTGTTTTGTGCTCTTCAATATTGTCTTCTGGACCACTTTGAAATAATGTTTCCTTCTTTTGGTATGATATCATTTGTTGTCCAAATTGGCTCATTTTGTGCTCAATTGACCCGAAATCCCGCTAAACATATTATGGATGTGATTTTTACCTGATTTCATGAAACTCGAACCAAAATATCTAAAACATGCCTTTTCTTTCTATTTTTATTCAAAAATCGCTTAAATTTGATAAGAAAAATAAGTACAAAAATGGACTTATCACGCCTTCATCAAAGTAGAAAATTACTGGTGCCAAGAAGAAAATGACACTCGGGTCCGGGGTCGAAAAATTCCAAGTGGGGGACTATGTGCTCAGAAAGCGCACAACAAGCCAGCCCACAGAAGGCCGCAAGATGACCAAGAAGTTTGAGGGCCCATGCATCATCATTGCAGTGGTCCACTCCGGAACTTACAAACTTAGCACGCCTAAAGGCACGGAAATTCCAAGATTATGGAACGTGCATCACCTGGTGAGGTAATACTAGTGACCCGACAGCTGTAGAAGGAGACAATAAGCCCTCGCCAATGGAGACTTTTCACTTTTCATGCACTGGAAATCCGAGTCATTGCTAGCAGCCTCAGCCATTTAATGTAAGCCATTGATGGCATTCTATGGTTCAATAAAAGGAGGACTCCTCGGGTCAAAATTCTCTTTGAGGCAGTTTATAAGCCCTCCAACATCAAGCTCCAAGCTCCAAGAAACCGAGGCCATTTTCATAAGCCCTCGCAAAAATTGGCTCATTAGCCAACAATCATCATCAAGGCGACTTTGTAAGTCCTCACAAATACGGAGAACTCTTCTTGTGAGGCCGGCCTGATCGGGAGAGCTGTCTGGCCGAGCCCTTTTGACGACCTTCCCAGTGGAATTTTTTAATGAAATTTTTGAGCATGTTCCTCATCAAGTCTAGTTTGTCCATACCAAATTTTAGCTAAAATTCAACCGGGAAGACATTCAAATCATTTTTTGAGGTTGACTGTGTCAAAATATACATATAAAAACGCAATCAACTTCAAAAAATGATTTGAATGCCTTCTCGATCGAATTTTGAGCTGAAATTTGGTATGGACAAACTAGACTTGATGAGGAACATGCTAAAAAAATTATCAAACAATTTCACCGGAAAGGTCGCCAAAAGGGCTCGGTCGGAGGGCTCTCCCGGTTAGGCCGGTCTGACATGATGATTTCTCTGAAAAACGTTGCTTATTGCAATGGTTGAGGCAGAAACAGTTTGAAAACAAAATGACCCCTTAATATCTATCGAAATTCCACTCATAATAAACTTCTAGGCATATAATATTTACCTCTAAGGGTGTTTTCATTCACCCAGGTTTTTTTTGTTGGTCTCTTTAAAGTTTTTTTCTCTAGTCTCTTTAAGTCTGACACGATGTAATGAATATATAATAAATGTATGATATATGCGCGTTTTCCTATTGTCTGGATATGGTTTGATCTAGTCTTTAATTTTGATTTGTGTAAGTCTTGTCTGGGATAAAGTAAGTCCATAACAATATTGGAAGGCTATCCACATTCTTGCACGGTAAAAATCCAAACATCAACTCTTACGAAAAATGTAACAATCCATCAATTTAGTTTTTTCGTATATGATACTCCCTACATCCCTAAATAAACTTCCAACTTTTCTTTTCCGTCCGTCCCAATTAAAACTTTCACTTTCTTTTTTTGGCCAGAATTTGTGGTTCACAGCAATTCTTACACATTTCTCTCTCCTCTGCACAACTCTCCACCACACAATACCCACTATCTTAAACTCCATGCCAAACCTATTTGGAAGATATAATAGGGATGGAGGGAGTACAACCTAGGAAAAAGTTACTCCGTAATATTTTTCATTCTCCATATTATATTTACATATGATTAACAAACATTTTTTAAAATGTTACAAATAACTATAATTTTAAAAACACGACATTTGTGTACTACATAAAAAGTAACTAATTTTGGATATAAAAAAAATTCCCCTTTTTTAGCTAACAAAAAATAAAAACTTTTTTACCTATTTAGCTAACACACCAGATTCACGATGTTTTCTTTTGGACTGTTTTCAATCCCAGACCAGACCAGACTTAAACAAACTAGACTACACTAGACCAGACTTAAACAGATCAGATCAGACCAAACTTTCATAGTTATAAAATTCACAGAGACCAGACGTTTACCAGACCAGTTCAGACCGGACCAGACCAGACCAGACTTAAACAGACCAGATCAACAAATTTCAGTCCAAAAGAAAGCATCCTCACTTCATTTGGATTGTGATATGTACCTCCCATCCACTTCATGTGCCGCAGCTAGAGATTAATACTCCCTCCGTCCCATTTATATTGTCCCGTTTTATCTTTCCGGGAAGTCCCACTTAAATTGTCCCGTACCATATTTGGCAAAGTTTGTGTGGCTCTAAATCATTCTTACTTTATTCTTACTTTATCAATTAATATTAACCACACAAACCCATTTTTCTTAATAACCGTGCCACCCTCTTCCGGAACAATATAAATGGGACGAAGGTAGTAATATTTACCTGAGCAAAACTTCACTCAATTTTATATTTTATGAAACCCAGAAGTGCATCTGAAGTACAACAGGGGGGCATATATAATACTAGTGGAGAATTATGTCCTACCTTGTACCTTGTTACTTTATATTATTATAGATTTTGATTTGAAAATATTCCAATTACTCCATAATATATTACTGTTTAGTATTTACTATGCCTATTATTATTACTAATTGCAGATTATTAATATGACTCTTAGTGTTGAGTAGGTATAGAGGATTAATAATCTAATTGGAGGGAAAAGCAAGGTGCTAGACCTTGTTACTTTATATTATTATAGATTTTGAATTGAAAATATTCCAATTACTCCATAATATATTACTATTTACTATGCCTACTATTATTACTAATTGCAAATTATTAATATGACTCTTGTTATTGAATAGGTATAGAGCATTAATTGTCTAATTGGAGGGAAAACAAGGTGCTAGACCTTGTTACTTTATATTATTATAGATAGATATAGATATAGATATATTACTATTTACTATGCCTATTATCTTTATATTATATAAAGTAGCAAAGTTGCTACAACTTTTGGAGGCAAAGATCCCGCCCAAATGAAGGGTATAAGTGTAAATTGTGTACCTTCGAATTAATCTAGAATTCCATATGGGTAATAAGGAGTATGTATGTGCCTTAAATAAAACATCTCGAATTTAGTAATAGAATTTATCTCTCATGTGTTCTATTAGTTATATTGATATTTATATAATAAAATATCAAATACAGAGACATTTTTTAGATTTTCCTAATTTAATAAAAGAAAAGTGATGAATTATTCTTTAGTTACGAAACTTTTTCATACCTACCAATTTAAGATGTTTTTACTCGGACTGTAATCTGTCTCAGAACAGACCAGATAAGATCAGACTTGAATAGTTATGAAAATACAAAGAGACCAGACATTACCAGATCAAACCAGACCAGATCAGACCAGACCAGATCAGACCAGACCAACAAATTACAGTCCAAGTAAATACATTCTTAGTAACAAAATTTACTAAATTAAAATAATCATCATAATTGAGTCCAAAAGTGTCAACTTCAAATTTAGCAACATCTTTATTAATTTTTTAGTAAAGAAAATGATAGTTTAATTAATATAAAATATATCTTTATTTTTATCTTTGATAAAAAATTCTACTTTATATTATATAAAGATAAAAGTAAGGGTTTCGACCTGAATATTACGAAATGAATAATATAACATTAATCAAGATTGAATAATAACGAAAGAAATACAATTGTTTAGAATTTTAAGCATGGGAACTTTTTATTCCACACGCAATAAGTTAAAGTGCTCATGTGAACATATACGGAGAATGCTCAGTTGTTTTAATTGTAGAAAGATGTCAATATTTTATTACCATTTTTAGTAATAAAATGAAATCCTGCCAATTATATATTACTATTATTATATTATTATTTTGAATTGAAAATTTATTCCAATTACTCCATAATAGATAGTATATTACTATTTAGTACTACTATTATCATTGCTAATTATTGGTGTACCTCTTATTGTTTAATGAGTATGAAATCATTAAATGTCTTATTGGCGGGAAACGCAAGCTACACCTTGTTATTTTATATTATTATTTTGAATTGAAAATATTCCAATTACTCCATAATATATTATTGTTTAGTATTTACTATGCCTATTATTATTACTAATTGCAAATTATTAATATGACTCTTATTATTGAATAGGTATAGAGCATTAATTGTCTAATTGGAGGGAAAAACAAGGTGCTAGACCTTGTTACTTTATACTACCTCCGTCCCAAATTGTTCTGCAAATTTGACTTTTCTTGGTCAAACAGATTTGTTTTGTTCGCTTGATTAGGGTGTCAAATTTTAATTATATTCTAATTTGAAGTTTACAACTTTGAAGAAATTTTAATATAGTTTATGAATATGTAAATTTTAATTATTAAAAATTGAATTAATTATCAATATGGAGGGTTGACTTTTATTATTGGTTGACCAAAAAAAGTTGACTTGTAAAACAAATTGGGACGAAGGGAGTATTATTATAGATTCTAAATAGTAACTCAAATTAAAAGGGCATTTAAATAGGGTTGAACATCAAGGATGTTTTTACTTGAACCGTTTTCAGCCGCAGAACAATTCAGACCATACTTAAAAAGATCATATAGACCAAACTAGACTTAAACAGACCAGACCAGACAAGATTTAAATAGACCAGACTAAACCAGACCAGCAAATTATAGTCCAACTATACTATTTATATAATTACTATTTATATAATTAGATAAGATCTATTTATATATTATATATTATTAATATGATAATTAATATTATAATAATTATATAAGATATAATAATTATAATAATAATGGTAAAGTTCATAGCCTATGGTAAGGTAGGATTGACTACTGACCAAATTAAAGTGGGGTGG